CCGCACACCAGTGGGGTATTGTAACCCCTGACACTGATGTAAGATTTTGTGTTTCTGTAAAAAAATCACTATAATATAATATATATAAATACATATGTACATAGTGACCTTTAATTAAAAAGTTGTCCACATGAGAGTTTTATAGATTATTCCGGTGTGACACGTTGTTTCCTAATCCTTCTGGAGAATGTTTTACTTTATCTTATTTATTTTATCTTATTTAAAGTCACCAAGTCCCATGGTTCCCAAGAATTCTGGCAGTGCTGGCGTGTGTGTGCACACGTGTGTGCGTGACTCCCTGTGCCGCGCTGGTGAGCCTCGACGTGACAGAGCCCCCCCCCCCCAAGGGCTCCCCCCTCCAGCCAAGTGAAATCGTAAGCTATGTGGGACCTGCATGCTTTGGAGTCCCAGGGAACCCCCCCCCCCCCTCCAAATAGCATGACGAAACTCAATCGGGAATCACCCTGGCATGTCTGCCTGTTGTCATGGCAACTACTGAAAGCACACCAGCCTGGTGATACGGTCTGCTGAGCGACACCCTCTGTGGCACAAAGGTCACAGTTCCTGTGTGAAAGATGTGAATTATTACACTCAGGAGTGATGACTTGGCACCTGAGACTAGGAAAGTGTGGAGCGGAATCTCATTCCGTGGCACATGTGGCCGGTATGTCAGAAACCATGGCGACGGGCAATGTTTATCCGGTAAACGGCAGGGAACGCCGCCGTCACGCACCTATGTGTGGATACATGTGTACATTCTGGTGCGTGCAGGCGACCACACGCACATGCGGGCACGGGGTGCCGATCCAAGCCCGGAGGAACCTCTGGCTGGCCTCCAAAATGTCACACAAGAGACTTGTGTATTTTTTTAAATTGTCATTGAAAAAGCTGCCCCAGACGCCACCTAGTGGAGGGTATTTGGAGAGCAGCATTTTGAAACAAAAAAAATAATACAAATCAAACAAGCGGTCAATGGTCCCTGGTCAGCAGTCACTGAGTGGAGGAAATACTTACAGCAGAACATTTTTACCTAATTTCACAACTGGAAAAGTTACTTCTTCCACTGGATGTTCCTCAAATTTATTCCGCCTACCAGAGAGTCTCAGATCTCTCATTGTAAGGTTGGTTTCAGTATTGGAAAGAACCAAATCAGCTCCAAAACCTTCACTCAACACACACGGTATGGCCACAATACTGGGAGGGACATGACATACCCCAATCAACCTCCTTGATCTTGTCAGTGCGCATTAATTACATATTGAGATAATTGCAGGGATGCCTTGAACAAACTGGCCCTACAGGCACCCAGCTGTCAACTATACTGTGGTCAAGAGACTGGTGGGGCGGCTCACCTTGCCCTCATCCTGGAAGGTGACCTTCCTGGACGGGGGGTGACCTCGGCAGAGCCGCTGCGTTCCTCGGTCCCTGCGCTGGGACGTGTAGCCCACGTGCTCGTAGATGGGGTTGGTGGTCATGCGGGAGATGTACTCTGCCGCCTTTGTCTCGATGTACAGCGTGATGAGGCCGTCCGTCACCAGGTCGTGGATCGACTCGAACCTCTTCTCCCCGACAAAGTGCTTCCCATCGTAGAAGAGTCTGTAGTTGAGCGTCTGGTTGCCAAACCTTCACACAAGCACACAGGACAGGGATGAGGCCGAGGGCTGGTTCATGGCGACCAAATGGCGTGTGATAAAAGCTGGAATCACTGCGTCAGTGATGGAGAGCTATGAAACCATAAACAAAAGACACTGACAAGAACTGTAGGGGCTGTCGGGGAGGAAAGCTTTGTTGTTTATTGAGAAGAGAAGATGTGGACCTCAGGGCCAGCTGTGAGTGTGTAACACAGTATCTCAGGGTCAACTGTGAGTGTGTAACGCAGTATCTCAGGGCCAGTGTCTGTGTCTAACACAGCACCTCAGGGCCAGTGGGCAAGTGTGTAATGCAGCAACTCAGGACAGTCTGAGTGTATAATGCAACACTTCAGGGTCAGTTTGAGTGTGTAACATAGTACCTCAGGGTCAGTTTGAGTGTGTAACATAGTACCTCAGGGCCAGTTTGAGTGTGCAACGCAATACCTCAGGGCCAGTTTGAGTGTGCAACGCAATACCTCAGGGCCAGTTTGAGTGTGCAACGCAGTACCTCAGGGCCAGTTTGAGTGTGTAACGCAGTACCTCAGGGCCAGTGTGTGGGTTCCAGGCTGCCTCTGGCTCTCTCTGATGAGGTAGGCACCCTCAGCACCATCCAGAAGCTCGTCTGCACGCTCCCGTGAAACCATTCCGTGGAACCTGAACGCAACATGTACTTGTAACCGAACGAAAAATTCCAGTGTAGAACAGTCACTTATGACTCAACAGACAGCACACAAGGTCAGATTCACTCCCCCAAATGCACAGCAACAGCCAGGCGATGTAACAATGGTTTACAAAATGACGGTCATGTTTGATTATCTCTGACTGTGTGATAATGTGCAATTGCAGACTCACTCTCTGCCGTAGTACTTTGGTCTGCTCTCCATCTGAAAGAATAAAACATTTCCTTATTTCTAGGCAAGCAGTTATTTCGTTTTACGCAATCTCCACTCAGCATGCGCGGACACACTTAACCACTAGGGGGTGCAGCGTAGACCGGAGGATGTCTATTTCCATCTCGGCATAGCATTTAAAAAACCGCATAATGACTGTTTTTTGTCTGCCAGTTTTTTTTTTTTTAACTGTGTTACAGGCAGGAGTTTTGGACTGACACTGCCGTTAATCCTTAGGATATATAGCACACAGAAACGAAAGTTTAAAAAGTTGTCTTACGTACTGTATCTGTCCATACAAAGCACTTTTTTTCAGCCGTGAGTGTGCATTATATTGAGGCTGAGTACTACAGTTTGTTTAGCATAACAGACAACGGACGTGTTGTTTTATAATACTTTGTGTTAAACTAAGTTATTCTATCTGTGAAAAAAGTAAGCGTTGAATTCAGACTCCTTTCAGCGTGCTCTCAGTTCCATGTGATCATCGCGGGTGACATTACTGGCTGTCACATGATCGTGACAAAAGCTGTGGGTGGCTGAGGATTGCAACATTGCGCGGGTGGCCACATCACCCGTGTGCACTCGAATAAACGCACGGGTGTTTATCAATAACTAGAACGCAAAGAATGTACCTTAGCAAGAGTGCTTTTGCATTCTTGCCTCCCAAGAACAAACTTGGTGCATAATTAATCATGGGATTGTTCTCGTAGGCAAAGATGCAATTGATGCATCATTCAATTCGGGAGACATATGAGGATTTTTTCCATTCTCTGTACTTCTGTTCTTAGTATGGGAACTGTACTGTAGATGACGTCAAACGGGTATACGAGACCACAAGAATGGTGAAGTAAGCATACTGACAAACATCCATAATCTGCTGAAGTGAGCAGCTGTGGTAAATAGTGAACTCACAAGATTTCACCTTGTGGAGCATCAGACGGCAGAAAGTTCCAGAACAAAAACGCTGTAAGAATGGTCAGGGGACAGGCAGTCCAGAACCTGTTATCTCTCAGTACCGCTGCAGCTAAATCATGACAGAACTGACTGGTCGTGATAGCTACATAAAAACAAGACCGGCTGTTAAAAATGCCAAGAGTTTGTAAAATGACAGGTTACACATTTCTGACAGCACTGACGGACTGTGTGTGAGGCCCAGGAAATACCATCGTTTGGGGATTTGCAGCACTGACCCAGAGAAGACTGGCAGCATGGGCTTGGCAGTAGATGGCCTGAGAGGGTGTGTCATGTGACTCAGTCATGTGACTTGCTTCATACACAAGCACTGAGCTGTTTGCCCGTGTGCATCCCCCACCATTATAACACACCTCCAGGTCAGATAATCCCCAGCATGTATGTGTTCATTAAAAGCTTCTTCCAATACGTCCAGTACTCTAAAAGCTGAAATCACTCATTTGAAGGATAGTAAGGGCCTTGAAAATGAAATTGATATAGTAAATGAGTTTAATGATTATTTTACACGGGTGTTCACAGTAGAGAACATGAGTAACTTACCACCATTTAGTACAAATACAGCATCATCTATGACCAATATCTGTATAACTGAGGCTGATGTGGTACAAAGCCTAGCTAAGCTCAAAATAAATCGCAGGGCCCTGATGGCATCTTACCTATAGTTTTAAAAGAGATGAAGGATATTATTAGGCAACCTTTAACTTTAATATTTCAGAAATCATTATCTGCTGGTGTGGTACTTCTGATTGAAAGCATGCTAATATAACGCCTATATTCAAAAAAGGGGATAGAAGTAATCCAGCAAACTATAGGCCAATCAGTTTAACTAGCATTACTGTAAAAATAATGGAAGCTATAATCCAAGTGAAAATGATAGATTACCTGGATACAAATAACATTCTGAGGGATCATGGATTTAGGAGAGGTATGTCCTGTTTAACTAATCTACTTGAGTTCTTTGAGGAAGCTACAAGAGAAATTGATCACAAAATGGCCTACGATGTGATCTACTTAGATTTCCAGAAGGTCTTTGATGTTGTCCCCCACAAACGGCTCTTGCTTAAGATCAAAGCTGCAGGGATTTTAGGAACTGTGGCAGCTTGGATCGAAAACTGGTTAACTGACAGGAAGCAGCAAGTAGTTATTAAAGGCACAATGTCACAGTGGCCCTGCATTCATAGTGGGGTACCGCAGGGTTAAATTTTAGGACCATTATTGTTCCTAATTTACATTAATGATATTGACACCAATACATACAGTAAATTGGTTAAATTTGCAGACAACACCAAGGTGGGTGGTATATCAGATACTGATCTTGCAGCGGAGAGGCTACAACGGGATTTTGAATTAACGACTGAGCTGATACCTGTCAGACGAAATTTTACACAGATAAATGTAAGGTAATCCATGCAGGGAGCAGAAATATAAAGTACAGATATTTTATGAGTTCCACTGAAATAAAGGTAGCTGATTACGAGAAAGATCTCCGTATGTATGTTGATGCTTCCATGTCCCACTCTTGCCAGTGTGGGGAAGCAATTAAAATGGCCAATAGAATGTTGGGTTATATCTCTAGGTGTGTGGAATTTAAGTCAAGGGAAGTGATGCTAAGATTATATAATCCCCTGGTAAGACCCCACCTATAAAATTGTGTGCAGGTTTGGTCACCATACCTTAAGAAGGACATTGCTGCCTTGGAAAAGGTGCAACGGAGGGCTACGAGAATGATTCCTGGTCTTAGAGGAATGTCTTATGAGGAGAGGTTAGCTGAGCTGAATCTGTTCAGCCTCGAGCAAAGGAGACTAAGGGGGGACATGATCCAGGTATATAAGATTCTAACAGGTCTGGATGCTGTTCAACCAAATGGCTATTTCAATATTAGTTTAAATACTAGAACTCGTGGCCACAGGTGGAAATTAGCAGGAGAACATTTTAAAATGAATTTGAGGAAGTGCTTCTTTACACAGCGTGTATGGAATAGTCTTCCTGCTAGTGTAGCGGAAGCTAAAACCCTGGGTTCCTTTAAATCAGAGCTAGATAACATTTCAACAACTCTGAGCTATTAGTTAATTCTCCCCAAATGAGCTTGATGGGCCGAATGGCCTCCTCTCGTTTGTAAATTTCTTATCTTCTTATGTTCCTGCCTTTGTTCACCGCTTTGGATGAAAGCTTCTACTAAATAAATAAATGTAAATGCGACGTCGCCATAAAATGACACGCGACTCTGGGCTCACCTCCTGAGGGCAGGTGACTCTCTTGGGGCGGGGAGCCTCTTGCTGTAGCTGGTATACTGCTCAAAATAAACACATTATCAGTAAAATGGCTGCGTTTAATGACTGTATAACAACATATAACGTGCATATAATCAGGGCTGCCGACTCTCACACATCTGGCCTGACACTTAGGCTATCAGACTCTCATGCTCACGCAAGAAAACTTAAGGCAAACCTATATTATTCATTATAAACCTAAAATCAGCTGCATCAAAAGCGTTGGGGTAGTTTGCAAACCCTACAGACTATTCACAAGGTAATAAAACCCTTACATACAGTACATGTAAATGCGTGTGCAGACTCGTCTCAAATCTTACTCGAGCCAGCTGACCAAAGTTGGCAACCCTGACATAATCGTTACACAGATCATTACCATCGCTACCCGTAACCCTAAGCGAAAGCTTTGTGTCATATGATTATTCAGACTGATTCTGTCTGTCGGGGATGCAGGTGGCCAGCTTGGATTCATGTGGATTTTGTTTCATTTCAGATGCGCTCACCCCAGGCCTGTAATAAGCCAAACTCTCAGCCGGTGATGAGCGGTGGGGCAGGAGGCAGAGAAAACCACATTACTGGGGTCTGATATCGGCCCCGACTTCATATTTCATTTCTGATGGCAGGTGGCTTTGGGGCCAAAGCTAACAGTAACATTTCATTATCAGGTCTGGGTCTGGTTGGAGGAAGAAGCCTCGCTGCTGTGAGTTTGACTAATCGCCGGGCAGGAACTCCGCCTTCATAGCCGGGCTGCCCCAGGATTCAGCTGGGTGCTTTGCTGCTGTTCTCATGCTTCCTGTTGGGGCAGCAAGGGGGACATTTGTGTCGTAGTTTACATTTCGAGCCTTTAACTGTGAGCCAGAGCCCCCTCCGTCGCAGATCAAGCAGCTGGCAGAGGTGGAACGTTCCGGTTCAGAAAGTACAAATCCAGCCCAAGGTTTTGTTTCAACCAGCCAGTTGAATGTGAGTCTTTATACTCAGCTGGATGGTTGAAACGAAATCTTGGTCTGGATTTGTACTTTCTGAACCGGAACGTTCCACCTCTGCCGGTTAGGGGCTGAGGGTTCTTTCAGATGCTTAGATGTAACCAAAGGTCTGATGATCAGGGCGAAGTCCTGGCCACGCCGTGAAGCGGGGGGAGGCAACGCTGTTCCCAGAATTTGACTCCGACCCTCCAGTTCTCATTTTCCGTACAGCTAGCTGAGATTCTCTTAGTGTGAACGAGGCCAGCAGGACCTTCCCGTCAAGCGTGTCGGAGGCACCCTGACGCCCGGCGGACTTTGACCACACCGCTGCCACGGCTCTCCTCTGCGGGCTGTGCAGACATGCACTGGGCGAGTGGGGCGGGCGCCTGGAAATGTTCAGCATGGCAGGGTGTGGACTGGCGGTGGGGGTATAAAGACCTGAGTCACGCTCTTGTCACGTGTGTCCAATTTTCAGCCCACAAACTAATCCATGTACGCAGCGATTTAGGAGTTTTCACCCTGCTGTTGCAGCCCGACACACAAAACTATCTGTGCGGCTTTTGTGTCTGCTGACGGGCTGCAGTAAGGCAGGGTGTGTGGTCTGAAACAGGACCAGGCTCGGTCTGCTGACTGGTATCGGTACAGGTGGTGTTTGGAATGTTGCTCCTGGCGACGACCCTCCAATCAGGAGCAGGAAGAGTTCTAGTAGCCAATCCATGTTCCAGGAAGCCCAGAGAGGCTTGGACCACAGCCACAACTGGGGCAAGATCAAATGACGGGGGGGTGAATACTGCTGAAGAGGGTTGTGTGGAGCATAAGGATGAGCATAGAATTCTGATTCTAAGCTTATTAACTTAGGACAGATACACAGGAACAGAAATGCAGGTGTGTTATACACTAGAGCAGGATTTTCCAATCCGGTCCACGGGACCCTCAGACAGTCCATGTTTTTGCTCCCTCCCAGCTCCCTGTCAGACCGTCTACAATTCACTGCCTCCCAACTCCTGGTGGGAGCAAAAACATGGACTGTCTGTGGGTCTCCGAGGACCGGATTGGGAAACACTGCACTAGAGGAAGTCGCTGAAGGGAGAGGAGGGTCTAGTACTCACGATAAGACTTCCATATGGGCGGCTGGAAATCCTCCGCATCTGTAAAGAAGAGGGGACAACCGTTAGCGGCAGGCGTGAGATTGCAGGCCGTGGTGGCCCAGGATTGCTTGGAGCAGCGGATTTGGCATCAGTCCAGTCAGTGACAGCCTATCCGAGGTGAGGGGTCTCCAGCGACTATTAGCCGGCACCCAGTGAGTCGAGAGAGACTTCGCAGCTGTTGCGGACGATGCAGACCAAATCCTGGACAAAACAGCCTGCGCCGCTCGAGTGACTGACCTGGTCACCTGCCGAAATAGCAGTTGTGGCACGAGATACAACATTAACCCATTTACCCATCCATTCATACCACTTATTCCATTAGAGGGTCATGCTGAGTCAGCCAGTAGGGTCCAGCAGGCAGGGGTAACCTTGATGGGAACCTGACAGTCAGGGCACACACACACACACACACACACACACACGCACATGTAGGGTAAACATCTCCTTATGGAGACCGCTCATTCATTTCAATGGGAAAAATGCTAACGCTAACTATGACAACCTTAACCCCTACCCTGCCCTAACCATAACCATAAGTAACCTAACAAAATACTTTGCATTTTTAGTTTTTTCATAGCAGTCACCGATTTTTATAAAATAACGGATATTTATCACGTTATGGGGACATTGTGTCCCGCTCGTAGATACACACACACACGTTTCTATTAATATTTTATGGTGGCTCTTTATTAATTTCTATGGGAAAAAAAAGCCCAATCACAGCAACCTTAATCTCTACCCAGCTCTAACCTTAACCGTAAGTAACCAAACAAAATACAAGACTTTCGGCGTTTTTAGTTTTTTGATCGTATTCACAAATTTCTTATAAGATTTTGGTTATCCTTGTAGGGGCCTAAACATGTCCCCACAAAGTAAAATGTTACAGGTTTTTATCACATGGTGGGGAGATCTGGTCCCCTCAATGTAGTGAGTGCAAAAAAACACACAAACACAGGGAAGTCATGTGAGAACATGAGTATAATCGGGGGAGAGAACACGACACGCCATAAACCGTCACGCCCCCTCCTCTGCATCAAATGACCATCAATAAGGACCATGTGACCCCCCCCCCATCCCCACCTCCACCCTCTTTCTCATGCTAATTTTGCCACTTCCTTTGAGGATGTCATCACCGTATCCGCCGTGTTTAATTCGGGGCAGCCGGCAGAATTCATGTGATGATCGGCTTCTAAGGAAGGCAGGATGACTCAGGAGCTCGAGGGAGGAGGGGGCCGCAACCACCCGCTTCGACAGACCACGCTGCCGTCGCAGGGTCTAATTCGGGATGGGTGCAAACGCCCCTGCGGCGTGACATTCAATCGGCGGGTTTTAATTGGACGTCCGGCACGGCGACCCGTCAGTGACAACCACGGCGCCGAGCGCCATCTCAGCTGCGGCGTGAGAGGCTCCTGCTGCGTCCAATCAGTGCCTATGGGCACATTTCCTGCGTTTAATCATGTTCTTTGCAGTCATTCAGATTGCAGTTTAGAGACATTCAAAGCCCCATTTTCAGTCAAATACTGTATGAAAATGTTAATGTTACATTTATATTTATTTGTTTAGTTTTTATCCAAGGCGAAGTACAGGTGAGACAGCAGGGTCAGGCAGCACCTGGAGCCGTTAAGGACAAGAATCAGTCATAAACTAGCCTTGGGAAAATATTTACATTCAGAAGACGGCTGTGAGTGTTATCTGGAGTGTAAATACGTGCGTTTCAGTGTGTGTATGTATGTTAGCTGGGGTGTGTTATTATGTACATGTGTGTGTGTTGCAGTGTGTCAGTGTGTGTTGCAGTGTGTCAGTGTGTGTTGCATTGTGTCAGTGTGTGTTGCAGTGTGTCAGTGTGTGTTGCATTGTGTGTGTCTCAGATCAAACAGCCCATGTCCAGCTCCCACACTCCTACCCACAGTCGCCATCGGCAACCGGAGAGGACGGGGGCCCCCACCCATGGCTGGTGACAGCGGGGGCAGCATAACCTGGCATCCCGGGCGACTCCCGTGGGGAGGCCCTGTACCTCGGTAAGAAGCACACAGCGGCCGTGGAGAGGGGAGGCCCTGTACCGCGGTAAGAAGCACACAGCGGCCGTGGAGAGGGGAGGCCCTGTACCGCGGTAAGAAGCACACAGCGGCCGTGGAGAGGGGAGGCCCTGT